CTTTTTTTTTTTGGACGAGCTGAGCTCGAGTTGCCCACGAGCTCGTTGGGCAACGAGCCTGAGTACGAGTCGAGCTCGTAGGGTAACGAGCCGAGCTGGCTCGACTCGGCCCATTGACATCGCTACTTGGTTCTACGGTTCAATAATTTATGGGACCGAGTTTGCAAATGTTGATTCTTGGATTTCTTGAATTTGATCTATTTTGTCGCGAGTTTCATAATTACAATAGCTAAGTGGGTTTGCATTAGAGACGTTTACAGGAGGTATTCGGCTATTAATCCTAAATATAATCATCATTTACTTTATAGTTAAAATATGTAACTTATTTTTAATGGGGAAATAGTAATTATGCTAAAACTTGTGTACTTTTAGTAATTCTTTAAACTTAAACCATATTTAAAAGACTTCGTACAATACATTTTAGTGCTTGTTTATAAGATTTTTCAAAGTTAAAATGATTTTTTGAGAAAATATATAATTGAAAAGCATTAAGAAATTATAGCTCCAAATGATTGAAAATAATTTTGAAAAAAAGTGCCTTAACTTCGAAAATTGCCACCCTCGAGAAACGGTCCACCGCCGAAAATAGAAGAAAAATGAAATTGGCCATTTGACGAAAGAAACAGTCCTCTTCCACCGAGTCGAATACGACCACTTCATGTACTTATACATACACGTACCAAACGCGGTTAGATTAGAGAGGGAGGGAGACGCACCCTCTACGGAGATCCCCATTGGATTTGTATACAGCTTCACCACACGTCGCTGACGATTTGCTAACCTGCGTCCCCGGGTACCTTTTCCCTCTGCTTATGTATTTCTCAGTATTTTGTTGTTCATTTACCATAGATATAGATGTATAGAATGTGATCAATTGGTGAGGAATCGTTTATTATTATTATTTTTTTTTTTAATTTGTTATTATTATTATTATTATTTTTTTTTTTTTTTTTTACAGAGATGAACATATAGGGTTGGTGATATTTATAAGCGTATACGCATATTTACTGGGATAAAAAGAGAGTGAAGATGGCAGCTCCACCAGCTAGGGCTAGAGCCGATTACGATTATTTGATTAAACTGCTGCTCATTGGTGACAGCGGTTTGTATCTGCTGTCATTTTTCTTATCAATAATTTTGTGAGATTTATTGGATCGTATGATTGCCAATCACGGGTACATTTGATTGTGTATGGAGATATTATTATGATCTGTGGACAGTTCTGCTTTTCCTGAATTTATTTCTGTAACGCATTGATATCTTTTATGAGGTAGAGCTTTATGACATATAGCAAATAAAATTTTAATCGTAGTTGTGTCACCTTGAGCAAATATTTTATTGTGAATTTTTAGATGCACTATTGATTCAACCTTTTCATAGCAGCTCTGTAGAACAGAATGCTTTATTCAGTAACTCTTAAAGTGTCGATCTTTTGGGTGCATATCCCAGTTGAGGGAAATATTAGAACTTAAAATGGTATTTCTTGGGAAAATATAAAAAATCATATCGTGATTTCAAATTTTAAATTTCACGGCCTGGGCTGTATTATTTTAACTGTTGACATTGTTCTATTTCAAGAAGGTTCTGACTTCTCATTGCTTTTCGTTATATGAAATTTTGTTGTAAAGGGGGCCGTTTGAGCCCCATTATTTGAAAATTATAATGAAATGAATAGTGTTTTTTTGAAAAATAAGTGGTTGAAAAGTTTTTGATTTACGTGTAATATTATTTTATTGAAAATTGTGTGGTTAAAAGTAAGAGAGAGAAAAATTTAATTTAATGTAATGAGAAATAATGGGGCTCAAATGGGGGCTAATATACATGCTAACTGTTGCCAAACATCCAAGGGACATAATCCTACACTCTAGAGATATTGGCATTTATATTTAGAAGGTGTTTGGTGGAAATTACAATTGTATTTTTTAGTAGATTGTGAAAGAAGCTTTTGAAATGTGTGATTGAAAAGTTGTGAGACCCGTGAAAGATGTGGTTAATAGTGATTGCTTGATTTTGACTTAGATTAAAATCAGATTTTAGTCCCAAACCAAACAAGCTCGTAGAGGCACTGGCTTTGTCATCCCCGTCATCTACCGAAAATAGAACAAAATGATACATAGAGACAATAGAAAAGCTGCAGTTTTATACATCTCAGAAGATGGATCAATGGAAAGAAAATGAGATTTTTGCTGGGCCCAGAAAAATAAATAGAAAAAGGAACACTGACTTGTTTTCAAGTGGCAACTCATGCTGGAAAAAGTTTCCATTATTAGGGTAATAGTATTATTATTAATATGTGGCTTGTAATAGTATTATTATTAATATGTGGCTTACATTTTTGCCAGCTGTCATGAATTTTTTGAACATTGTTCAATTTATGGCCTTCTATTTTACGTATCTGGTCCTTTTAGAACAATACACACATATATGTACTTCCTTGGAATCAATTTGAATTTTATTTTTATTTTTATTTTTTTTTCATTCTGAAAATCCATCCAACAATCAACCGAAACAATTGTTTATATTAAATTGCTTTTCACTTCTACTTATGAAGCCAGCTCACCTCATTTCTTTATCTCCTGCTTAGATGTTATACATAGTCCATGCCGTGTTAATTTGATGTAGTCTGTGACCGTTGGATATAGTTTTTTCATTCTGAAGAATGCACATGATTGCAATTCTTTCTTTGCTCTTGAAAGTAATTATATATGCTTTTCTGCTGCATTTGCTCAAAATCATGATGTCATTGTTGCTTTCTGAGCACTGAATCCTTTGATTAAGTATGCCAAAGTTTGCCAACTTCGGCCCTTCCCGGTTCATGCCTCTTTGACTTGCAGGAGTGCAAGAATTTCTTTATACTCTCTGGTTCTTTATGTTAACATTGCTAACTACCTGTCAATTTATATGGAATTTTGGAAGTGTTTATGCAAACCCTGCAGCATGTTGATTCTACATGCCTCAGCTGACAATTGTACAAATTGGTGTAGTTGTAAACTTCAATCTCGCACTAAATTTTTTTTTTTTTTACAGGTGTGGGCAAGAGTTGTTTGCTTCTTCGTTTTTCGGATGGTTCCTTTACAACAAGCTTCATTACCACTATCGGGTTCGTAGTTTTGAGACATCTTGTTAATTTAGCAGCTTCAATCTGCTATAAAATGGACTGTCATTATCTAGGATGTCAGGAGTTAGCAATAGCTGATGCCAATAGTTGCAACATTAAGTAGTCAATAGGACGCAAGCGATAAGGATTTTCAGCAGACCGGTTCGGCATAATTTTCCATGTGAATTCTTTTACTTGTTCTGGTCTATATATGCAAAAAACCATTGGATTGTTTATCATCTTCCATTTGGGGGACAAAATGTGATAGAAGGACGTTTGGAATCCATTGTCACTAATAGCCAGATATACCGATAACAGTCTAGAAAAGTTTCAGATTAATTATATTGTTGTCGAATTTATGAGGCCTGATAATATGTCAACGTACAGACTGCATAAACCGAGCTCTCTGATGTAATTGGCATAAAATGTCCATTTATTTCATTTTGTTAATTTTCAATATTTTAAAGTGATATTTATTGTGCAGTATTGATTTTAAGATAAGAACTATAGAGCTGGACGCAAAACGAATTAAGTTGCAAATTTGGGATACAGCTGGTCAGGAGCGGTTCCGAACTATCACAACAGGTATGCAGTTAGCTTCCCCGTCTTCAATTTAAAATTCAGGTATGAAGCATTACAGATGCTACTATATCCTAGTGCCAACTAAATAGCATTTCATTAGCAAGGAGGCATAATTGTTGTGAAGCTTTTATGGTGGCAATAAACAGTCTTTTTTCACACGCTGAGCAGTTGGCTTACTAGCTTAAATCTTGAATTACTAATGTGGTCAAAATACATCCTGCTGATCTTTGTGACTGCATTCAAGCATTTTTTGTTACCTCCATTTCCTGACAAATTGTCTTCCTTTCTATTTGTTTGAAAACAATATCCAAAGATTTATTATTGACGAGCTATAGCAATTGCACCTATTAAAGTAAGTAAAAGAATTATTGAAATGAGTTCAAATGGTAGGGAAAAAAAAATTATGTTCATAAATGATTCCAATTTGTTGGGTCTGTTTTTAATTGAAGCTGTTATTTTCACCTGCTATCTTCTGTAGTTATCCTCATTAAAACATTTCATGATAATAATTAACGCATAGCTGTTGTTGCCATGACATGCCCCATCATTTGATTTGCCACTACCATCTCAACCCTAATTCCTGAACACCCTGGACACCTCAGAGGTCTTGAAACCCACTGCTACACTTTTTAACCATCACAATTAGAGTTTCAAATTCCCCCGTCGTCCAAAAATTACCGCCTTCATAGGATCGAAATCCACCTCTCAATTGTGAAAATTTCCGACTTCTTGGCTGCCAAGCCACCTAAATTTTGTTCTTCATTTTCTGCAGCTACTTCACTTTGTGGTACTCATTAGCCAGTAATTTTGATTCCTGAGGAATTAATGGCTGTAAATTGGTTGTTTGAGTAATAGGGGGTGTTGGAGAGTTCCATTGATTGTGATTTGGGTATTTTATGGCTGTTTTGATGGTAGATTTTTGGTTAGTGGGGTTGATGTCTTTTGTTCTGGTTTGTACTTTTTGGCTCTGGTGCTAATAAAGCCAAAGACGCCCCAAGACAAGGTCAAACTGTTGGGAGAGGACATGATCAATAGAACCTGGCTGGATCCGGGCTAGGTGTATACATGCGTTTGTTTTATCGTCTTTCTCCCTCCCTCTCTCAATATGTCTATCTATCTATTTATCTATGCTAGTCAGATGGTGGTTTTGGGGGTTAGATGATAGTGTTTTTGTAGAATTATAGCGTAAAGTTAGTGAGGAATTGTAGGGATTTGTTACAGTTATTTTTGGTATCTTGTTCCTAGTTTAGTGCCATTCCTTGATTTGTGGAGATCCACTCCTCAATTAGGGCTGATTGAGTCCAGATTTTATGATGGCAGATTCCACCATCATCTTGTATATATACCTTGTTGTACTTGTGAAAAATGTGTGAGAATTCAATCCCTTTTCTCAGAAATTCACAGTTTTGCAAGTAGTTTATGCCCAGGATCGAAATTACATGTCCTTGCTTTAGTTTTTAAAGATCCATGCTATCTCGCTTGAGCAAGATGAAAAGGAATCATTACAATAATAAAGACCTTGCTTAGAAATCAATTCTAGTCAAGTAAATATACTCATTTTTGACAAGGAGGCACTAAGAAGTCAACATGTCTGCTAGTTTATAAACCTAACGAGGATGAAGTATTGTGTTATTTTCCATTTAAAGTTGTTACCATTAATATGGCACTTATCTTTTTTCTCTCTTTCAAATTTCTGTCATTTCGTTTAAAAGTTGTTACGAATAATCTGCTTTTTTGCAGCTTACTACCGAGGAGCTATGGGTATCTTGCTGGTGTATGATGTCACTGATGAATCATCTTTCAATAGTAAATTCTCTTTTACATAGAATACATTTTTCATAGCTAATCTAAGATCTCTTGCTTTGGCTAGTTTTTTCTAATCTGAGAATCCATCTAGGTCATTAATTCATCATTGTGTTATTTTAGGATGTCAATAATGCACTGCTATTATTTACTGTGTTTTGACTGGCAGAATTAATTATATTTTTGCCTATTTTCAATTTTATTTTATTGTTTTTCTTGTTCAGATATTAGGAATTGGATTCGCAACATTGAGCAACATGCTTCTGATAATGTTAACAAAGTATTGGTGGGAAACAAGGCTGACATGGATGAAAGCAAAAGGGTAGGTTGGTTGTATTTTTAGACTTTTGACACGAGAATTTTTAGTTTCTTTTCTGATGTGAACTAAGTTGATGGAGCATGCTGTTTCCCTTTTATAAATGGTTGCATCCCTAATCTGAAACTGAAGATCATATAATTTTTCCTTCATGGAGTCTGATGAAGGTTCTTGCACAAAGTAGCTTTTCATGTGCCATGGTTATTGATATTTTCATTTTCTTACATTTGCTAGGCTGTTCCTACCTCCAAAGGTCAAGCTCTTGCCGATGAGTATGGTATAAAGTTCTTTGAAACGGTAAGTAGAACTCCATCTTTCTCGATTGTATGTCTAGCCTAACTATTTGGTTTATGTCATAACTTCTGAATGATAATCTCATATAGAGTGCAAAGACAAACTTGAATGTAGAGGAGGTTTTCTTTTCGATTGCTAGAGATATAAAACAACGGCTTTCGGAAACTGATTCTAAGATCGAGGTACAAATTTTTCTTACCTGTTATATCCTCCTATTTAAGAATTGCAAATGAGAAAATTATTCAACATAAAATTATAGAAAAAATGTTATTCTATCCACATTCAGATACCAAGAGGCAGAATTGTGTCACACCCCTCCGTTTTTAGTTCCTGTGGCTACTAGAGTGGAAACTGGAGTGTACATGTTGAATACAAAATTTAATTAAATCTCTCTCTTAAGAGCCCAAGCTTTTTGACAAAGTAGTTTAACAAGGTATCAAAGCATATAAAAGTTGTGCGTTCAGGTCTACCTCTATCCATTTATGAAAATTGTGTGTAAGATTTTGATGGAAAAATGAGTTTCAGTCTGCATGCGAGAGGCTTGTTGACAATTAAATTTAAATAAATAAGGGTCCGTTTGATTGCAAATATAGAATTTGGGTGGAAGAAAATGAATTCCAGGGAATTGAATTGTCAAGAAATTTTTTTCCTGACAATTGTTAATTTTTGTGTTTGATTGGTATAATTTTCCACGTGGAAAATGTTGAAATAAGTGTTTTTTGGTGTTCGTTTGGCTTTGTTTTACATGAAAATTGTTAAAGGATTGAATTTACTGATATCGGGGATAGAATTTGTTTTCATTGTCAAAAAAATAATAATAATAATAAATAAAAAAAATATCTATCTTTTGGTGTTCGTTTGGCTTTATTTTATATGGAAAATGTCAATTAAAGGGAAATTTTTTTTACAATAATTCTTAGAATTTGTTTCCATTGTCACCAAAAAAAAAATAAAAAATAAAAAGTGAACAGTTAGTTGGAAAATCAGGAAAATACCAATTCCCAATACAACCAAGAAAATAGAATTCCATAGAAAATAAAACATATCAAACACATAAAATTGGAAAAAGGTGGAATTCGAATTCCATTTTCCATGGAATTCAAACCAATGAAACAGGCCCTAAATTTATCATCTAGCAGCATAATCTTTTAGATATTGCATTATATTCTCTTTTAGTTTCAAAGCCTTGATATTTTTACGAATGCACAATGTTCGGTTGGTGATTGCAGCCTCAGGCCATTAGGATCAACCAATCAGATCAGCCAACTTCAGGTGGTGCAGCTGCACACAAGTCTACCTGCTGTGGTTCATAACATGAGAATTGACAACCATATTCAGAGCATTGGAAGGTGTATAATTGTTGGGGAATAAAATTGTTCATCCATATTTTCCACTGCCTCGTCATTTTATCGTCTTTCTTCTAGCTTCTATGTATTAAAAGTTTATTTTTTATCTTTTTATTTGTGAATACACTTGTTCGACTATTTATTTGACGTATTTTTGTTACCTTGGTGCTCTGTTTTCATTTTTTCCTTTTTATTACGCTACTGATTTAGATGTAAAGGAAAAGATATAACATCAAGAGATTCCTTTTAGGGTGCGTTTGATTGTTAATATTTTTCATGAAAAATGTGTTTTTTAATCCAAATTCTTATTTTTGTGTTGTTGACTGATATTTTTTTTCATAGAAAACATTTTTCTACTTTTGGTCTCGTGATCATATTTTCCTCAAAATCAAGGAAAATATTTAAATTTTTAAAGGAATTAGCTCTCGCTTTTTTCTCTCATCTATTCACTTTCTTATCTTTCCATCAATAAAAATCAGACAAATATAATATTTTCTAAGTTAAAAATGAAATCAATCAAATACATAATTGATAATGTTCATGTAAATAAATTTTAGGCAATTGAATTATTTATAATTTATTTTCTGTTTGTACAAATTTTATTCTTGCAATCAATGCAATTGACTTTGGGCATAAAATTAGATTTTGATTGTCTTCTAAAGACTCTTTTCTTTCTAAAGTTAACTTATTTCGTTCATATCACTCTTCATTTCACCTAATACTAGTTAAAGAATAATGTCTCTTGTTTTCATTGGTTACTTTTTTCTCCTCGACTTTTACCATTATTTGTTATCTATAAATGAACATACTTTTATAAGGATAAGCAAAAGTTTTTAAATGTAAAAAATGTTATGAATGTTATAGATGATTGAAGGTACAAAGAAGAGGGGGTTGAAGAGAGAGGAGATCGTAAATAGGGAGTTTGAAATGAAAGAAAAAGATAGCACCTGTTTGGTGGATGGTAAAATCAGATTTGTAATAGATTTTTATAAAAGTTTATGAAATGCGTGGTTGATAAGTTATAAATCCTGTTAACATGTGTTTAAATTTAATTGTTGACTTTGAGTTTAATAAAAAATTGAATTTACATTTTTATCAAAAAGGTTAATTTTTTATAAAAAAGGGGCTATATATTTCCAAGCGTTGTAAAATGTAAGTTTATTATGGTTTAGAGGTGAATGACAATTATATCCCTGCAGTCTTAAAAATTATTACTGTTTTGTATCCTTAATTCTGTCATATAAATACAAGGATTTGGTTCTTAATAAAACACACACAAGTCTATTGACTTTTCTCCGTTATTTTCTCTTTTCTTTTCTTTTATAACACGTTATCAGCACAATAACTTAATTTTTCAAAGTTTAGTGAAGATAATAATTTTTTTAGGAATGAATATTTATTACGTGTACCAAAATTAATTTAGTGGCATATGAACTATTTCAATATTCATATGCATCATAACGAGGTTGCTTCTTCTTTTCTACTTTTTATCGGCATGCATATTAATTCTAATTCACATTTGTATGTGTAATCTAAATGCATATTAATTCACCTTTTTTATTCATACACGATCATTTTTTCACATACTATTCAGTATTAATTCTTTCTTTTGAATCTGTTACATATTATTTCTATTTTTAATTTCTAGATATGTGAAATTCACATACGTGTTTAGTATTTTTTGCATATTGGTAAAAGATTTAACCAATAAATGATTTAGCCAATTTTGTTAACTTCTATTTATGGAGATTCTTTTTCGCCATGCATGTTTGGTAATTAATTTTTCTATATAAATTCATATCATGTCTATATGGTAATTAAATATTTTTAGATATTTTTCTATGAAATTCAAATTAAGAATTTTTCATATTGTTGTTCCAAAAGTAGCGCAACATTATAATTAATATTCTAGAAAAATATTAATCGTATATCTATCTATTATAAATAGTTCGTTGTTACCCCTGAAGTAGTGCAACATTATTATTATTATTCTAGAAGAATATTACTTGCTTATAAAGAGCATGATATTACAAGTTCAATATTCTAAAAGAATATTGACTCAATGCTCCGAAAAAACATAATTTAAATTATAGTTATTTTAAACGAATATAATATTGATGTTCTCGAAAAAACACAACACACGTTGTATAAATATTCAAGAAGAATATTTCATTGTTATTCATGTAGAGTACAAATTTTATTATTTAGCTTGAAAGATAGAACAAATCGTTAATGTTAGTATTTTAGAAAAATATTGTATATATACTCTTGAAGATTATATGTCTGTTGTGTGCCTGATGAAAGCACAACTTAAAATAAAAATAAAAATAAAAATAAAAAATTTGTGTTGATGTTTTTGAGAAAACACAATGTTATTAATATTCTAAAAGAATATATATTATAATTTCAATACTCCTGAAGAATATTGATCGATTCTATTTAAATCACGAAATAAATTTCTCTATTTATTTACGTGTCCATTCTTTTGTATACGTATTTAAATATTGATGTTCTAGTTAAATTATTTTGCTCTTGAAGAGCATAATGATATAAGATTTAACATAAATTTATATTTTTACTCATGAAAGTAAATCTCTATATAATTATTATTATAAATAATAATATGTTATTGTTCCTGAAAAGCATGACATTAAAATTTTTCATATTTCTAAAGAATATTGATATATTATTCTTGAAGAAGTAGTCGTAAAATATAATGTGATCTCATAATAGCACATTATAATTTTTATTAATATTCTAGTTGGATCTTACTTTCGAAAAGTATAATTACATATAATTTAACGTATTTATATTTTCACACTCAAAGAGTAAATTATTGTATAATTTATTATAATAATATTTTGATTGCTCACGAAGAGCTTGAATTATAATTTTCAATATTCTAGAAGAATATTGACATTTTTCTTTTGAATGAGCAATAATAATAAAAATATATAACATGCTTTTAAAGCAGTAGATGTTTCGAAAAATAATTATTTTGAATTCATGTTTATCCCTGAAAGAAAACGTATAACTAATGTCGTTAGAACATTGATTAGTTTGATTACTTGTACGATATATGATTATATAATATTTAATCATATTTTTCGAGATTAAATAATTGAATTATATATTATATTGAACCAGAAGTTCATTTTGATTTTATTATTTAGCCCAGTTGGATTATCACTGAATCAATAATGATGCGAAATTAAAAAATTTTAATGGATATTAGATGAAGAATCTAAAGATTTTTCAATCCAATGAATTCCTATATTCTATTTGTTCTTTTTACCGACAATTGATCATTAAATATCGCTAGCTAAAATAAGGATTAAATTCTCTACACTTCTGAAAATTAATTAGGGTGATATATGTGGCCCTGTCACCCACTATGTTAACTATCTAAATATTATTTTTATCTAATAAATTTGACATAAATATTAAATGATTGCATGATGTTAAAAAACTTGAAGTTTGCAAAATTATTACTCAAGTTATGAGCATAATTTTTAGATTATATAATTAAGACTGTGTTTTGTTAATACTAGTGAGAATAAATCTCAACATTTTAATAAGTGTTAGTTGGGATGTCGATAAATGATTTAAAACTATTGTTTGTTAAATGCTACCAATTAATTTAATTGAGAATAAAATATTTCCCATTTTTATTTAGAGAATTCTATTACGCATCATACCAAAATAACAGGTCTTCCTATTATAATCAGCTTATGGTCTGATCCTAATTTTTTCATCTAATTATTTTTTATAGTGAAGTATATGTAAAAATTGAACACCACAATATATTGAGATGAAAAATAAAGAATGCTGATTATAAGTACGTAGTTTGAAATATCATTTCAAATAGACGATATTTTATAACACTGAAAAAATGATTGTCAATTTGATTGGACAATTCTTTCAGCATTTAGAAAGGAATTAATAAGTTGAAAATAATGTATAAATGTATCATCATCTAAATCTTCACTAAATATCATTCGAACCAGAAGTTCGAAATATAATTTATTTATATGCATTTATTGATCAAACAGATCAACAATCTCACGCACCAAATTTTAATGCTCCAATATAAATTGATGTCTTAGGGGACAATTTGTTAGCATTATATATTGATATATTTATGGTACGCATGAAGCGTGATGGTGTTTGATTCTAAACACAAAATTTTCAAACGAAAATGGAACAATTAGCAAAAATGGTCTCATTAAGGAGACATATACTCTTAATGAGTATTTAAACATAACAAATTAAAAAACCCCAGAAGAGGTTCGTGTACCCGACATGTTGAAAAATGAGATATCTAAATAAGTTATGTTACTATGAGAAAAGAGATAGAATTGAACAAAAAAAAAAGTTGTCGACAACAATTTTATATATGATATACAGTATCATATGTGAATCACGAGGAATCAAAATAAATTCGTCGAAATATATCAATCGAAATAATGTTTGGCTAAATAAAAGGAGACGCAACTTTAAATTGAATTTACTAGATAAACACGAAATTTTTGGACATGTAGTCCAAAAATCTAAATGTATATACTTATATAAAAAGGAAATGAGAAAAATAAAGTCGTATTGTGTAATGCACGACTCTCAACATAGTGAATTTCGTAAAGATTGTCATGGATGATATCACGAATTTATATCATGTTATCTTGACAATACATGAAATTTGAAATACGTAATAGTCAACTGATATGCATGATTATTAATGTTATCTTTGAAAGATTTAATATGCCTGAAATATAATTCAAATGATACATGCCCGAGAACCATGTTCTTAGATCATTATATTGATTAAAATAACCTGGACGCATATGGTATAATTGTCTTAACGAATATCTGTTGAATGAATGTTATAAAAATGACCATGTTCGCCTATATGTTTTCATAAAGAAAACAAATATTGGATTTGTAATTATGGTTGATAATTTAAATTTAATTGGAACTCTTAAAGAGTTCAATAAAGCTGCTAGTTATTTGAAAACTGATTTTGAGATGAAAGATTAGGAAAAAATCAAATTTTGTCTTGAGTTGCAAATTGAACATTTTCGAAAAAGATTATTTGTTTATCAATACTAGTATGAGTTTTGTATAGATTTTGTTATTATTAGCGTAGAATATGTCGAGTATTTAAAAAAAGAAGTGTTTTAAGTTGTTGAAAATGAGAAATTGAAGAGAAAGTAATTTCATTGAAAGCTATAAATTAACCATAAGGTAGATCA